TTTGCTTTCCTTGGGACTCCAACCTGATTACGGCTGGAACTGTGGGAAGGGCAGAGCTGAGGGAATTGCAGAAAGCTGGAGCCAAAGGCCTGATCACACCATGCCTAAAATCCACCCTACCTATCTGCTTTTGGGTGATGTCAGCCAATAAATTCCATGTGTTATTTAAGTCAGTTAAAATCAGGATTTTGTTATTTGTAGATTAGGATATCCTAACAAATAAAATGATGTTGTTCTGCCTCTAAGAAGAATTTCACAGAAAAGCTTTAAGGAATAATTTCTGAATTGTTTTATTTTTGGTACATCAAAAAACAATGTCAAAAAATTAATTATGGTCTTTAATAATATGGAACAGGAAGCTGAGAACAATTATGCTGGATGACTGAATCAAGATCCAAAAACATCTGCCAGGCACAGTGGCTCATGCCTGTAATCCTAGCACTCTGGGAGGCCAAGATGGGGGGATCGCTTGAGGTCAGGAGTTCAAGACCAGCATGAGCAAGAGTGAGACCTCATCTCTGCTAAAAATAGAAAAAAAAATTAGCTGGGTGTTGTGGCATGCACCTGTATGCTCAGCTACTTGGGAGGCTGAGGCAGGAGGATCACTTGAGCCTAGGAGTTTGAGGTTGCTGTGAACTACGATGGCTCCATTGCACTCTACGCTGATACACTTTACCGAGGGGTGACAGAGCGAGGCTCTGTCTCACACACACACAAAAAAAATCCAAAAACATCTGGTAGGCAGGAATCCTTTGCCAAATACAGCACTGCGGAATTTAATAAGGAGTAAAGGTCCAATGTGGATGGGGAATATCTGCCTTAGCTGCACGTGTAGGAAAGATAAGAGTTGCCCATCACTCTGATGTGACCCCAAACTGCTAATGTCATTCTAGGCTGCATTCATTAGAGTATCTCCTTGCTTCTCAGGCCATTCCTTTGGCTCATTGCTGGGTTCCAGACTTTAAAAGGGATCTGAACAAACAGATACTCACTCCAAGTAACGAAATAGGCTGGTAGAGATTTGAAACTG